AAAGTGGACATCTTTAACTCTAAAATCTGTAAGAATATTAGTTTGCCATCTTTTGTGGTTTTTGCCCGTGTCCATTTCACGATAGGACTTGAACATAGAATTAGCCATAAAGTTTGCTCTATTCAAATTTGAAATGTAGACACCAAGGAATGATAGATATACAGGTCCAGAAAATCTTTCCAAGACATAGAGATCGATCATCTATTATAAGTGTATAATTATTCAATATTTTCAGATATGAATTATCTGACCTTGTGTTATCATCTGGCATACCAGCAACACACTGATCTGGCGGGAAGCTTTGTGGTGAGACTGCTTGCAACTTTGAAAGCACCGTGAAAACGAGTAATTGGATGGTGATTTGAGCCTCTGTGCTCACTAATTCCTCTCAGAGCAGATTTTCCTCACACACAGATGAATCATGAAGCAGAGGCCTAGCAAAGCATTTTACAAGCTGTGGCTGTCGATGATGCTGCACAACTAAAGATAGAGCCGGCAACAGGTCAGGTTCGCCTCCCCTGCACAAAGCCCAGCGTGGTGAAAAAACACAGTAGGTTTTACAAAGCGGAGTTAACCCATTAAGCAGAACACACCGTTCGAAACGTTAAGAGTGTTGGCTACAATCTTCACATACCAGTTTGAAAATTCTTCAAACACAACTCAAAATATGCAAATTAGTCCAGATAATTTGTATACGGCGGTTATGTACACTTTTTTCATCAAAGCTAGCAACGTGGCACTGTATCGCTATCTGCTATCCCACGACGAGTATAAAGACGGGTGTAAAGACAATATCTGGACGCCCCTTTAGCGCTGCTGACGCAGTTTGTTGCCACCGGCTAAACCGTTGCCATGTTGCGAGCCATTGAGAGAAGAATATAAATGCTCTCAATCTTGTACACAGCACCATTACATCTGCAGAGGAGGATAAAGAAATTGAGTCTCTGCCTCTATATTTCTAATTACTGGCTTGAGAATTGAGAACAATGAGAACAATGAGAATTTTAATTGTGCAAGAAATTAAAAAGCCACTAGCTTGATGTCCGCACACAGTCTGTTTTTAGAGTAATGTTGCAGACTACACACGTCACGACAGTATATGGTGACTTTAGGGAGCTACTCCTTTGATAGTATCATTCATTAGCATTCAAAAGGGATAGCCCCAGTGTGACCACACAATGTTGGGATCAAAACATTGTCCAAAGCGGGGCAGGGAGATGTGCACAGCAATCCTTCTGACCTTGAGTCTTTGAAGTGCCTCATTTGCAGCACTGGTGTCATGTGCAAATCCCCCCGGATAGATAATGTCACAGGTACACTCAGCAAGCTGTCATGTTATTATGACAGGTGTGTTTGCCGAGAGAGATTAGATCTGATTCAGAACGACAGTACAGCAACTCTTTGAAGATCCACATCATGCTGCTAATGATGGCAGGAAACGTGTGTATGTGTGTTTAGGTTGTGCGCAGGCTTGTGAAAGACGAGACAAAGTCAATGGAAGCTCTGAGGACTTAGGGATTTCCTCACCCATTGCTGCCTAATGCAAGTATACCACCGACTAATAAGGGCCTGATGACTCATTCTGTGATTTTTATTTCTACTGTGTTCAATATAAAGAGGTACTTCTGAAGATTTTGCAAGTCAAATTCAATTTAGTAAACATGGTAGTACTTCTTATCCTGGGAAAACAGTTTTCCAATATCATATAGTTATGGAGCTTTGTCTAAAGCTAAACTAAAGCCATCATGTAGAAATGCAAAAGAGTATCCAATGCTTTGGTTCATGCCCAAATATGCACTAACAAGACATTCAGCCTCAGCTTTTAATTGTGTTAATTAAATAAATCAATTAATTTGTGCTAATTCCCTCATCTTAGCCCGTAAACACATTAAATTAAGATAATGAACATGATTCAACATATATTATATCCCATAGATGAATTGCCCTTAACAGTAAATTGCCCTTGCTTTCAGAAAATAATTTGTTTCATTCATGAAAATACTGAAAACTTATGTGTATTGTTTTGGTTTTCTTTTCTCAAAATATTTTGGTAATGATATACTTGAATATATTGCTGACTGAAGACTGATGATGCAAATTGTCTTTTTTTTTCATCAGTCAAATGATGAGGTTTTTTGAATGCATGTTGTACTCATTGACTGACATGCAATAAGTAAATACAATGTAATTCTAGAGGAACACAACTTCAGGCTTTGGTTTGGAATCAGATATACAATAAGATTTAGATCTATCATCATCTGAAGCGCTATCAGCGGTGTCCCGACTGATGTTCCCATACTGACTCGGTTTCCTTTATGCAATCAAGCTCCTAACAGCAGGGAGTTGGTTGTGTGAGCCTGCTCATAATAAACTTGTGCTATAACCGCACACTTAAATTATTTGTTGGTGCCCTCACTCCGCCTTGATTGACCCTTTAAAGAGTACATAAATGGCAGCGTGCATTCCTGATTTATTGCTCTTATGCGGCTTACTTTGAACGAAGCGTTCAAAGACCCTGCAGCTTAATTAGTTACCTATTAGGCACCCGGTATCTCTCGTCTTATTTGAGGTATTTGACATTCACGAACATGCAGACGCAGCTTGTTTTACATAAAGAAACAGCCATGACAGAAGCATTGTAGCATTTAGAGCGGGAAATAAAACAGATGAATGATGTTCCGTCAACACCAAAGTACGCAGTCCTTGACTAACATGTTGGAGGTCTCCCTTCGCCACGTGTAACATTCACCGTCACGCACTTAGTAAATCCTTTTTCCATTGTTTTGCTCTGTTACGTCAAACGTAATATATAGTGGCAGCTACTTGACGACCCCCGGGACACGGAGCAGCAGCCACGTCTCATTTACAGAGGCGTGAAATTAAATGTCGGAATTCTGGTTGGAGTTCTTTTTTACGGCTTGAGCCCGTTTGCACTCAAACAATCGGAAGCCCACCACAAGGCTGAGTGGGCGCGCCGGGCTGCTGTAGGTGGAGGCTCTGCATGCAGGCATCCGGAATCTCGTTAAGCACATTGTGTTACCGGAATCAAAAGCAGAGGTGTTCTTGGCGGAGGACAACCGACACAGCCGAGGAAGTCGGGGGGAAATCTCCACGGCTTAGTTACACCCCGCATCGCAGAGAGAGCTTGTCAATGGGATTTTGGGAGCACATTCTGCAGCTTGTCACATACAGAGGAAGAATTAACATGACATAACAACTGCAATGGTTTGTAAGGGAGAACAACATTTTGTGTGTAAGTGTATTCTAATTTAACAGAATACAACCTCAGGAAATGTCAAATATTGTGCCAGTTTTGGTCGTCTTAAACCTATTATTCTTAACTCGTCAAACTATGGCGCTCCAGGTTGTCCTAATATCAGTTTTGTACTTGTCATGAATACACTCTCAAAAAAGAAGTATTTCGATTAAATTAGTATTTGACTTTATGCACTGAACCTAATTTGATGAGGTTTACCAAAGGATTTGTGTACAAGCATGTGGGTTAAAGTAAGTCTATTTAATATGTAAATGTAATATTTAGCCTTTCAGTCAGGAAGACAATACTTTTGAATGATTAGACCCATCTGTTTATTTCTCATATCCTGCCACACACCCCTCTCAATAATGCTCACTCACTGCTGTCATTGTTTGGGGCTGTCAATCATGATAACAGCTGTTCTGATTAGATGGTCTCTTATATGCAATAATAGATGACATAATTACATGATGCTTATTATATTACTGCACCCCAGTGCAAACTCCATGCATTCAAAGATCATCGTTGTTTGCCTTTCGTCATTTATGTTGCTTACTGACTTTTAAGTAAATGTCCCAGTTACTATATAAAGTACACAGTTTTATGCAAACCACTTTCATTTGAAATACCAAAGAAACCGTGCCAATGGAAATTTAAATTTAGAATATTTTCTTTTGTGTGCTGGGTTTAACTTCATTTTCTGCCAGTATGTGTTTCCAACCCTTGAGATTGTCTGCCTTGCCCCTGATTGTTTCCTCCTGTGTCCAATCACCAGCACCTCCCCAACGTGTTTGAACCATGTGTGTGCCTTGTCTATGTTGACAGTTTGCCTGGTTTGCCTTGTCTTGCTGGTGGCCGTATTGCACTCGCAAACAGCAGATTAATTTCATAATTTTGCTCAAAACGGCAGAAGATATTTATGATTCACACACTTTGATAACTTGGTGGGTTTTTACATCTCAATTCGTCATGGTTTGTCTGAGAGAAATGTAAAAAGGTATCTCTGGATTTAGTGTGATCTCGGATAGCGGTTTGCCGCATTGTTTTAAGTACCGTATTTTCCGCTCTATAAGGCACACTTAAAAGCCTTTAATTTTCTCAAAAAACAACACTGGTTGTACAAGGCGGTCAAGGCGCTCTGCCAAACATGCCAAAGCTGTTTGACTGCAGTATTTTATGCGCCTTATAATCCGGTGCGCCGTATAGTGCGGAAATTACGGTATTAGCTTTTAAACAATTGTTCAACTTTTACACCGCTGAGTGCACAATTTCTGGACTATTTGCATAGGATGTTTTGATCTTGAAATACTTGTTTGAGTTGTGTCTTGATCATTTTCAAAAGGATTGATGGGGATTATAGCCGAGACGCTAACACTTCAAAAGGGGGTGAAGCATTTATATATTTGTTCGTGCTGAATACACAATATTCCTGTTGGAAGTTGGATTTTGCGGAGTTTGGAGTTCTTTAGGGCACCCCTCGGGTATAACTAAAAAGCTCACGGAGAAAAAGATTAGATGTCTGAAGGAAGGTGCGTCAAAATATCTTGATGGACTCTTTTTGTCATTTAAATGTCCTGTTCTTCTTTATACAATGCCGTGAGTTGAATTGAAGTTGTTGCAGTGTTTTTTGCAGGAGCAGGGCTAGTTTTCCCCATTGGGATTAGTAAAGTAATTCTTTATTTTCTTTCCCATGACTTTTCAAATGTGATTGAGAATTCAACAGGCATCGCTTCCTTTTACAAATCTGTCTCACTCTGCCTCCTTTTCTTTCAGGTGGCCTGAGTGATCCGACTGAGACAAATGTAACTGACTATCAAGACGAGGCATTGTATGATTTGGACGCCGCCGTCTTGACATGACTCACTATGTGTTTGGATACCTGATCAGGCCAAACTGATCCGATCACTGTGAGTACCAGTACACAAAGTGAACCTGTTCTCTAATGTATTCCTTTTGTGAATTAAACATGTTGTGTTTGACAACACATATAAGCATATTAGCTATTTGTTGGTTGCACTCGTCGCTCAGGGCTTTCACATCCACTTAACTGGGTGAAAGTCGGCTTTTAGCTCAATCCCATTGACATATTTTAAGTATTCCCCTCTGGGGGCAGGACACTCGTGGTCTTGGTGGTGGTGAAGAGTTGATCTGAGATCTGAATGATGGGCTGTGGGGACTAATGAAATTTGGTTTCAGGGGTAGAAAAAATGATAAAGAGGTCGATTAAGTAATGCCAAGGAGGCGCCATACTACGGGCAAACAAAAAAAAAACAGACCTCGGTGATTGAAAGTGCTATCTGCCTGGCTAATTGGGTTAATTTCACCACCCCAAAATAGTTTTGATACGCCCTAATGGTGTTTTCTCACTGAAACTGATGCGAAACTCTTCTAAAGACAAAAATTGCAGAATATTACGTACACGCAAGGCAACCACTAACTGTAATATTATGAAATCTAGGGCGAGGAAACTAGACAGAGACCTCTTCCCTCAACAACATCTTTGCGATCATCATCCCATGAGATAAAACACCGCAATAAGACTTCACCCAGATTTCAGATCAGTATCTATGTACTATCTGTGTGTGTGTGTACTAGTCTGCTCGTTCACTGACAAGGAAATGTCATCTGTAAAACTCATGAATAATTCTCTTTCCAGGAGTCTAATTGTGTTGTATGCATGTCGTGTTTTTTACACCCCAGACCAAGCTTAGTTAATTACATCTACACGCTAAAGGAAAGACGGAAAGTTGATCCAAATACGGCTGCACAGTAAAGCCATATTTCTAGTCTCTCACTTACCATTCCAGAAAACATACAACGCAGATTTTATCCAGGGATTTTTGGAGCCTGACCCATACTTTGGACTGAAAGTTGAGACATTTCATACCATGGCTGTATCTTTTACAAGTCAATTGAGTATCGTAACAATTGTTATGAAATTAATATAATGGAATTATCTTAATCAGATTTGCTTTTGGGGCTGAATTTATTTGTTGTGTTCAACTTAAAACTGTCTGGACAGTGTTAACCCTTGAGGCAGACACAAGAGGTATTTAGAGACACGAGCCTGTGAGAACACAATCCTAATATAAAAAGAATAACCGCTTCCTTTTACATTTCAAAATTCCACGCTGTATAGGTTAATGACATTATTTTTCTGCTTTAGCATTCGCCTGGTTTGACCAATATCTTTATGTGGATGTTAGCTAACTTGTGATATGGTTGTGCAACATATTAAAGAAGCATTTCAGTACATTTATCAATCTTCTCTCTACTGTTCCACAACATTTTTCAGTTCACTGTTTTTCAGGGTAAATTTATTTTTCATAAATTAACAAGCTTGCTTAGCGGAGCTAGCTAGTGCGAATATAATATCAGGCCTGTTTGGTAGAGTGGCCAGACGGAAGCCACTCCTCAGTAAAAAGCACATGACAGCCCGCCTGGAGTTTGCAAAAAAGCACCTGAAGGACTCTCAGACCATGAGAAACAAAATTCTCTGGTCTGATGAAACAAAGATTGAACTCTTTGGCCTGAATGCCAAGCGTCATGTCTGGAGGAAACCAGGCACTGCTCATCACCTGGCCAATACCATCCCTACAGTGAAGCATGGTGGTGGCAGCATCATGCTGTGGGGATGTTTTTCAGCGGGAGGAACTGGGAGACTAGTCAGGATTCAGGGAAAGATGAATGCAGCATTGTACAGAGACCTCCTCGATGAAAACATGCTCCAAAGGGCTCTGGACCTCAGACTGGGGCGACGGTTCATCTTCCAACAGGACAACGACCCGAAGCACACAGCCAAGATAACAAAGGTCTTCGGCACAACTCTGTGAATGTCCTTGAGTGGCCCAGCCAGAGCCCTGACTTGAACCCAATTGAACATCTCTGGAGAGATTTAAAAATGGCTGTGCACAGACGCTTCCCATCCAACCTGATGGAACTTGAGAGGTTCTGCAAAGAAGAATGGGAGAAACTGCTCAGAAATAGGTGTGCCACGCTTGTGGAATCATACCCAAGAAGACTTGAGGCTGTAATTGCTGCCAAAAGTGCTTCAACAAAGTATTGAGCAAAAGCTGTGAATACTTATTTACATGTTATGTTTTCGTTCTTTATTTTTAACAGATTTGCAAAAATTTGCAAAAACAGTTTTCACTTTGTCATTGGTTGTTGTGTGTAGAATGTTGAGGAAAATAATGAATTTAATCCATTTTGGAATAAGGCTGTAACATAACAAAATGTGGAAAAAGTGAAGCGCTGTGAATACTTTCCGGATGCAGTGTAAAATTCAGTCATATAATGCTTGTGCTGAAAAAAATAACTCACCATTTGCAAGGCTGAGAAGACATGTCACAATCGCTGAATCACAAGGAATTCCCTTCCTGTCCCAAATCAATTGGATATCAAAAGGAGGATAGCAAGTTAATACTGCGATCTATTGATTGCGCTTGTCAGCTTTTACAATCTGCTTCATCTCTCGGCCTGCACTCCCTCTGTCTCGTTTAAGGTTTTCCTGGGAGCCGAGGTGAGCCTGTCCTCTACCTGACAATCCGTCGGCCATCCAGCCGGTCGCTGCTCCAAGTCATCGGCGCCTCTCTTATACCTGCGCACAAGAGCCCCGTCACGGTTCACTAATTCCCCTCATTAAGAAGGGACCTCACAGCTCTCTGTTACTGTACATCCATTCCCACATGACTTATACCACCTTACTCCAGGCTTTCATCTTTGGCAGCACGTGCATGTTCCATGAATTTGCCATGTGCATAAGAGTATGCGTGTCATGTATTTGATGTCTCTGTCAGCACCGGATAGCACGTGGCAAGGCAGCTTCATCTTGGTGGTGGAGGGTATATTTTATGCAATTGCACTTGTTGTGAACTTGTATCTTACATGGATCTCTTATCTTATTGTTATGCCTCCAGGCTGGGTTGCCAAAGTATCTGTCTTTTCACACCTCCGTACCTACCCATGGACATAAACTGCCACATGACTGGTTGGCAGTGGCAAACAACCATGTACAATTGGTGTATTAACCAAAACGCCGGCTGAGGTGCCTTTCTTTTGCACTACGGTTGATAGTGTCTATATCCCTTTCAAGTTCATGACCAGATTTAGGGATATTTACATATGGTTGCATTTGGCGTTTGATACGCCATGCTCCTCTACGGCGCAGCATGCATCTCTGCGTCATTGGATAGTCACTTACTTTTTTGTACCAATATTGCAGTATTGTTATACCATTGTCGCAAGATTTGAGGGCTGAATGAAAACAACCTAATAGATGTTTTATATTCTCAAAAGATGGGTTTTCTTGACGGATAATGCTTCCATCCCCAGCTTGGCTAAAATTTTTGGCAGTGTGGAAAATTCTCAGAGGATCTATATTAACCTGCCTTTGGAGCTTCTTGAATTTGCTTTTTATAGCCTTCAGATAAATCCCAGAAACAATTGATTGGAGGATGTGTCATCGGGGGCGGCACTTCCATCCAGTCATAACCTCAGCTAAAACAGATTGGGGGGGCGAGGGCTTTTAAAGCTTCTGCCCAGCCGTCATTGTGACCAACACTGTATCTCCTAAAACCCAAAGAGGTCTTTGTCAGGGACACAGAAACGCAAAGAGGATCTCTTCAAAGCCTTAAAGCCATCTGACAAACATTGTTAAAGCTCCACTGACAGACGGCAGGGAAGATGAGGTTTTGAAGGATGTGAATCATATACAGGGAGACTGAATCAAATGGTGAGCAGCTCGGGCTCTCCATCAGAATTGCGCTGTCAGTGATGGGTTGCCCTCCTACGATTTAAAAGAAAGAGAGTTAAATGTGTTAATGCGCGATAAAATAATTGTAGACATTAGTGAGTTCATGTGATACCGTGTTAATGGGCCCGGCACATTTTTTAAATTTTATTAGTTAATGTATATATAGATGTATGTATAGATTATTATAGACAGTAAAAAAGATGTGCACTCATTCAAAGACAATAAGAGACCCACATTCACCCCACAGATATCCATGTGTAAGAGTTGTTTCGAATTTGGAAGAGGATATTGCACAGTGGGAGCTAATCAAGTGTTTGAGCTACTGGATAACAGTTTGCTTTGCATGCGCAGAATGAACCTGTTTTTCGAATTACAAAGGGAAACTAACATCCACCAGCCTCAAATAAATACCCATTCTGTGCTTCATTGACTCAGATTTTTAGTGAGGATTCAAGCCTGCAAGAGGAGAGGAGCTGGAGCTGTTCTGCGGTGCAGAAAATTTGTGATCGACAGCATATCCATCCATGCATCCATCCCTTATCTGTGACTGCTTTTCATAGTGTGGGTTGCGGGGGTGCAACACAGCATATGCCTCACTTAAATAAGCAATGAAATATAGGCCGTGATCCACCGTGGCAAATTGTACGTAGTGAGTCAGGCAGACCTGTCGCAGACAAACAGATTTCTAATAGCCACACCCTCATCACATGTGTTCATGATCGTCTCCTGCTCATCAGCGGAGAAAAAAGACACTCTTGCTTTAAGTTTATTTGCTGTTGTACTGTTGAAAAATCCTGGTTTCGGTGATCGACTCTTCCGCGTTCTTATATAAGACGTGCATGCACGATTATCCTGATTACTGACATCTGGTTCAAATTAATGAGACATTTGATCGACTTAGTTGAACCACATACGAGGAACAAGACCCTGCAGAGCTATCGATATGGCTGTCTCTGCCAACAAGGTCACTTGATGTAAACAGAGTCCCGCCGGAGTACGCCATTGTGGCCTGGCAGGTCTGACTAGGTGGTCGGCCGTCAGCGGTAATTGTCCTTTCAAAAAAAAAAAATTGAGACAATTTATTTGGTGAACTAGTCAAATTAAACTAGAAACAGCCAAGCCAACAGTGTGTTTGCTAAATAAAGAAAAAGCCAGAGCTGTTTGTTTTGAGATGCTTGCTATGTTTAGGAGATGGCTCTCGACATCTTTGTTGAGTCTAAATTCCCTCAGTTCCTGAATATGCAGCATGGGAGGTGAGCAGTGGCTTTTAATGGTGTGTGAAATAAAACAGCTAATGACAGTGTTTAATAATCAGATTTATTTTTTCTTTTGTTCTAATTCTGCTCAATCTTTCAACACTCACAACGACTTCAAGAAGTGTCAGATGGTGAGCATAAACCACCTTCCCAGATTGTTTTGGCTTCGATATTTCCAGTCGGTAGAGGGTTTGAGTGCTTCAGTTGCTTGCAGTGATGTAAAAACTACTATTGGCAGCCTAAACCAAGCTGGGGACCGTCTATTAACAAAAAAGGCTTTTACTCTGCCCTAATGTGCCCTGTTTCAATAACTTTTCCACCCACCAACCTTATCTCCCCTGTTTGAGAAGCAGATGCTTCCTCATGAGTCATAATACCCCTGCCGCAATTCTAAAAGGTTTCTTGTGGCATATTTTGGCTCACACTGTTTAGTTTATACACCAGGTCGGCAAAACTGCATCACAGTAGAGAGGTTGATACGTTAATAAATACATACATTCGTGGGAATGATTCCACATGAAATGGCTCTTGAAGGACAGCAGCGTTAATTCGCTTCAAAATTAATCACTAGAAGTTAAATGAGCGTGCGTGACCTCTCGTCAGCTCATTTCATTATCATTGGAATTCGCTTCTACGCCGTACCTGCAACGTCGCAACGGGGAAGTAACCTTCTTCCAATAAAGACAATTTTGTAAGAACTGGCTTTTTCTCTTTTACCTTCTCTAGGTTGCTCCTCATCGTGCGTGTTGAGGGTGAATGTTTGGCCTCCAGGTGTTTCCGAGGGACCATATGGCGCAATACTGCACAATATAGGTAATGTCTACTTTGTTTTCACTCGGTTTGTGTTCAACAGAGGGAGGGTTTGAGGGCTGAACACAACCTATTTGTCCTTGACGTTTCTTATCCGAGCACATACAAAAAATCCTCGGGCTTTATATTTTTCGTATTGCAGAGGCCTTTCAACATTATAAGTGACCAAAAACCTTAGGGGCGGTTGTGATGAACCTTTAATATGTGATTTGCTTGGGGAATTCTTCTCAGGCTCCACTTTATCTTTTACCCATTATACTAAGTATCTGGGAGAAAAAACATTGTGTAGTTACCATGAATAAATGGTTTCTTAAGAAAAGAAAATTGCCACAAGACTTAAATGAATCCGTCAGGTTCATGCCCGCCTCTTCAGCATGCACTCTTTTGAACACAAACAAATCAAAAAAGCTATTAGAACCTCCCACATTATGAGCTTGCATATTGAACTTCAGACAGTATATTTCTTTTACTTTCATGCTCGCTTAATGCCTCTGTGCTCCCGGCACCGACCTACATGCGTCTCTTTGCTGGTGAAAATCTAAATTAAATAGGCCTAAAGTTAATGTGCTGCTTTCCTGACTATCTGTAATGATAGGGCGTGGCGCAGGGGTTAGAGAAGGTGTGCTGGGAAGCACAAGGTTGTTGGTTCGATTCCAGGCTGCCCCATGTTCCATGTCGAAGTGTCCCTGAACAAGACACCTAACCCCTAATTGCTCCCTGGGCAAAAATGTGAAAAAAGCCATGGGTTTAAAGTGTAATGTAAGTCGCTTTGGATAAAAGCGTCTGCTAAATGACCTGTAATGTAATACTGTGGGTGAGTGGGGAGCACGGTCGTCCTCCAATCAGAGGGTTGTTGGTTCGATCTCAGGCCTGGCTAACCCGCGTGTCAATGTGTCCTTGGGCAAGACTCTTAACCCCAACATGGCTCCTGTAGCTGCGACTACAGTGTGTGAATGTTAGTTACTGATGGGCGGGTGGCACTGTGTATGGAAGCTTCTGTCATCACTGTATGAATGTGACACACGTAGTGTTATACTACAAAAAAAAAGGTTTAGCCAATCACTGATAAAGATAAACGAGTGACATATTATATAACATTACATTCAGCCTTGGGCCTGCCCTTCGCCGCCCTACGCCGCGCTCTCGTCATTGCGAGTCTCGAGAGGCGCCGTTTTAACAACATAACTTTAACATATGACGACTTTGGTGAGGTTTAGCTAGCTAGTTAGCTACGCGCTAACGCAGTGTTTAGCTTAAAACTATAGAGAACATCAGACACACACGAATGACGCTACTACCACAACCTGTAGTGTATACGCACACGGTGAAAAAGACTGTGTGTGTGGAAGTGTAGGCTGGTTGACCGCAGCAATAAACTCTGTCACATGGCCGTGTGAAAGTTAACATCGCTACACAGCTGTGACACCCTCAGGACTGCGTCGAGGACACACAACGAGGACGTGGATGAAAACAAAAATAACAAAAATACTCCTCGGTAGTATTTTTGTGAGGTGCTCAATGTTATTTGTTGATCTGAGGTGATTCAAATTGTCATTAATAATCTTCAGGCTTAATAATAGAGTAGTTTAGTGTGTAGTTTGACATGTTTACGCTAATGAAATGCATATATGATATTACATTACAATAAGAGCATTTCAACCATAAGGATACAATGCCAGAATACCAAGAAACAAGAAAGTGCAATTTCATCAAATAAGATTGATGCCCCTTTATGTCTGTAAGCTAAAGGAGAAAGTGGAGCCAGCGGCTTGTTAACTTAGCTTAGCAGCAAGACCGGAAACAAGAGTCAGATTGTTACAATATACCCCAAACAAATTTAATAACGACTCAACCTTATCTGACAACTGCCCCATAGCCAACCTTCTTCGGAGTTAAAAGGAACTAACAAGCAAAACAACATTATGTCCCAAGTCAACTTTTACTTTGGGTGAACGCAGATCACAAACAGCGGTCTTCTGCCTGACAATGTGTTAGTTTGTGTCTCTTGTGGGTCTATCGTTGTTTCGCATCAGTCCAGCCGACCCTAAGTGTCATTTCTCTTCTTATACTTCTCATACATATAGTATCCTTGTTTTTTTTTAGGCGATAAGCCATTAACACACACACGCACGTATCCTCAGCCGGGGAGGCTGCATGTGCGGCTGCTTGTGAGGACGATGGCGGCTTGTGATGCTGCGATCACAGCTGTTTAACTGCCCCAGGATGAGACTATAACTGCCATCGAGGTCGTCGCTACTCTGAAGCAAGCTGCTTCCGTAGCCTCGCTGAAAGCTGTCCCACACTTTTGATCATCCGTCCGTCTAAATACATCTTATATGGGGAATTTTATGAAGTGCTTTCAAGCTTTGGAAGCTATCTGCTTTCCGACTCAAGTGGTTATTGAAGGTCATTAACATGTGAAAGACAACTCATCAGGATGGTGCTTTGAGTACCTGCAGAATAAATGTGCCTCGCTAGATTGTCGCTTTGGACACTACAGAATTGCCTACTCACTTTTGTGTGCACTGCTTTCACCTGCTTGGCGTCTAACCCTCTAACAAAGAAAAACAATACTAAAACTTCTATTGATTTATAAGGAAATAATGTAAGGATATAAGGTAATGAAGAGCAGAACAAAAGTTTTTTAATGCAGTCACCTTGAGTTAAATGATATAAAGTCCAGCGGTTTTATGCAAAAAGACTCTTCAAAGTGATGCATCAAAGCATCTTACACACATTTCCCATTAATATCTTGACTGCGGAGAAAGGCTGGGAGTGTGAAACACAATTGGATGAAGATATATTTTTAGAACAAAATGACTTGACAAATTTATTTGCGCGCCAAGGAGATCCCACAGGCTGCGACTTAATAAAGAAGTCTCTTTCCTCTTAGGAATGTCTCGGGAAATCCATCATGCATTGTTTCAATTAGTTCCCCCTTCATCCCATGATTCTGGGAGTCTGATATCTTAATGAAAAAACTTTGCAGATGCACCGTAGATTTTAACTTACAAATTACTGATTGGTATGACGGGTCCTTTGTTATAGCCTGATAACATCCACAGTTTCCCCTTCACTTGCATTTTTTTATGTGTGGTTCGGCGTTCCTTGACTTACTTTTTGTTGCAATTCTTTTTTTAGTATTTCTTATTTCTGATGCAGATTGTAGACCCTCAGCTGTTTGTTGAAGCTTTTAGTGCTTTTTGATTAACTTAAAAATTCCGTCAAATATTCCGTTTTATGAGGAAATGCTGAAGAAAGGAACATGCTTTGGCCCGCAGTTGAAAAGTGCTACATGTTACAAACTGTAGAATTAGAAGTAAAACAACACCACCAAAGTCAAAGTATTAAGGTCACAATATCTGCTATTTAAAGGGACATTTCACCAATTGCAAAATGTTCACTAAAATGTTCTCTAAAATCAAAAGACAATTATTTGTCGCAAAAACATACAGGCATTATTCATTTTAAAAGATTAAAATTGTGTTCAATATTCAAAATTACTTGAAATAAAACTTACTTTAAATAGTTTCAAACAAGTAGTTTTCCCACTATAACATGGACAGCTGTCTGTGAGGCTTCCCATACTTTTACATGAATTGACCTCTTTTGGACATTATGTGCTAAACAGTTTTCAGGAAAGCGTCTAACTTGTCTTTGCTGATTGTGTTTCACAGCCACGTTGCCATGTGCATGCGGAGGAGGCACGAGGCAAGGTGTGTTGAAAGGAGGGAAGTTGGGGGGCTGATCAGCAAATGGTGTCTGAAAATCAAATTTATTTTTCATACGCCGCTGAGATAGAAAGTCATATATTACCCCATGCAGCAATGTGGCGCCGTATCTCATGCTCACAAAAGGGGGCGAAGATAGCTGCTGGAGTTGCTGCTAGATCTGCTTTTACTGTAAACAATATACACTTTGTTGACATAGTCATCCAGTATGATGTTAATGTTGGTTTCCAGTGTGGGAGAAGTCTAAATGTAGACTTGTTGTCTAGTCATCTACTGTATACATTCTTGGAAGGGGGGTTAAAGAAACAGATTTAAGACTGAATGGATGGAGTTTTATCTGCCAGACCAGGAAACCATACAATCCCATAAAATGCCATGTAAAATAAATTCAAAAAGACATAATGATGTATGTAGTTGTAAAAATATATGGACGATACAGACTACTGCTTTACCGGACAGAAATAACCATGCAGTAAAGCATCCATCATGCACCGATACATGCTGAGAGCTTTCTCTTTCAACCTTAAGTTCTTAATTCACAGTCATGTATTTCCTGCACCAACATGGTGTCTTTCCAACCATTTCCTTGTTTCTGCTTCAAACAGCTGAGAGCAACCAATTACAGTGTCTATTTTTGGTGTTGAAGCTCTTTCCTCCTCAGTGGCTCATGAAAAATGTGTTCTCTGGGTTTCATTATTTTCTTACTTGTATAATTTGCTAGTGGTGTGGGTCATTATCTTCAAAAAGAGAAACGGATTTGCATCGTTGATGTGCAATGTTGCGCTGGCAGCTATACTGCATCTACAGAAGTTTTTTAATGGTCACTTCTGGATGAATAGATGGACATTTTGTTTTTTTGTTTTGCAGTACACTATGCAATTGTGTAATTAGTTATCAAGATCTAACACTCAGCAAACGCACACGGCACTTATTTGCTTAATGAGGATGATTATAACTACCTTGGTGAGCACTGTGGGCAGGTGTTTTTGCCCTTAAAATCGTGTTGATATATTATATCAAATCTATGTAACTCAACATTCACCATACGATTTTAGTATTTTGAGAAATTTCATTACAATACATGCTGATTCATGTCAATGTATTAAGTGTACATTTTCTCACGGTGCCATTTGAGCTTTATTATATGGCCAAGGTTTGAAAAAGACAAGAGGTGTGTGTCCTGCAGCAAAGGTGAACGTTAACAGTGTTCCTTAGAAAGACAAGATTACTAGCATGTAAAGAACAGTGAAACAGTGTTTTTTTGGTATGGAC